ACTGCATTTACACTGCAGTTCAAGTAAAATATTTTCTGTGGACTACCAACATCTAATGCCACGCTTCAGCTGCTTTCACCCCACCAAATATAAACAGAAAGCTATCGTGCACACACCCTCTCCCCGAAAATACTAAGGGAAAAATACAAAGCAAAGCAAAACAAATCAGAAAAGAGATCTTGTCCGGGAGACAAATTTCAGAATCATCCCCATTCTAATTTCTAATCACGTGAAATACCCCCAGAGTGTTTTCTGAAGCTGAAACATGAAAAATAATTTTAAATAAAAACAAAATAAGAGAAAAAAGAGAAAGAGAAAAAGAAAAAAAAAAACGAACTACCCCCCCAAAAAAACCCCACAAGACACCCCCAAAAAAACCACTGAGTGAAATGACCTTCTGAAACCTGGCTCCATTAAGATGAGACCGTGTCTCACACTTCGGGTGAAAGCAATGATATTGTTTTCTAGCACACCTTTTTCATAGGAGGTGCCGCTTGAATGTTTGGGTTAACTGAAATAGGTAGGTCCGTATTTAGTGTGCGCCTGAGGATTTTTAGGATGCCTTCGCACGTTTTCTCAAACTCTTCCCTTTTTGTATTTGCTGGTACAAATTCTCCTTATTTTGTAATTATCACAGCACCCCCTTAGCACGCAGTGGGAGGGAGAGAGTTAAGATGTCCTGCGAAACCCGCTCGTAAAGCTGCTTACTTCCATTAGAAACACATGAATATCCTGAAACACAAAGTGTATTTAAAACGGACTCAGGAATGTTTATCTCAATCCKTGATGCTTTAGAAATTGTGGAAGARAACGGCGGTGACAGTCCTGCTCCAAATTACCCTTYTGGCAGGTAAATTTCATTTGCTCATGAAAATCAAATTCGATTAAGTCTCTTGCTCCTGCTATCACTTTACTCCCGCTTCTTCCAAGAATCCTGAGCTCTGCAGGACGGAGGTTATTATTAGTGACTAAGATCACCCCTACCCCTCCATTATCAGCTAAGATATTTTAGCGGGTTTAGAGGGATTTAACTCCATGACAAATTTACATTTTCAGCAATCAGACACGATTTTTTTCCCTTCATGCTTATTAATTAGCTCGAAGCAGCTAAGGATGGAAAAGTAAGAGTGGATTTCTTTGAGCAACAGTTTGGGGTTGGGTTGTTTTGGTTTGGTTTGATTTTTCTCTGTATTTGTAGACCGTGATTAACCTACAAGAAACCAGCGTTTTCCTCAGTCGGGCATTCCCGTGGCAGGGCTGCGGAGGGTGCATGTGTGTGTTATCACACAAAGACCGGTCTAGGGGGAGAAGCCTTTTAGATACTGAGCTGACAAACTCCRTATTTGCAAAAACTTGTCTTTCAACTGAAAGGACTTCTGGTTTCTCTGAGAGAAATCTTAGGGCCTCTTTAGAAGTGAATGAGTGGCCATATTCCTGTCACATATAGAGGTTTAAAAWTAATTTCTATTTTCACGTTTAAGGCCAAATTGCTGCAGTCTTCGCTGGCRAGACTTAACCTTAGCTTCATGGCGTCCGGAACACACACAGTGACCTGCTTTAAAGCACTTGTAAGGGCCGAATTCCACTCTTGCTTACACCTGCGAAGWGGGTGTAATGTGTCTGACCACTTTCTCTTTTTTTCGAGAGAAAAAAATGCCACTTAAGCATTTTGTAATACCTGAGATGAGCATGGCAGTGTACTGCGATGGGTGACTACCATCAGTTAGAAATTGTTTRCCTATGAAAAGATTCAGGACCTCTTAAAATCTTCCTACTGGATCATGATTTTTCATCGTCCYGCTCCCCAAGGAATTAATACTCGTTTTAGAGGAAACGATTCATCAGATGCATTTCTCTCCAAGCTGTTTCACACTCTATATAAATGCAAAGCAGTTCGGAGGTTTGCATCAGTTCTCTTGGATATCTCTATGGTTCTACCACACGCTTGTATGTGTTGTATTCTAACTTTATTTCACACGAAAAAGAAAAAAAAAAATGGAAGAAGCTTTGATTGGTCTGTCGGTTGCATRTCTGGAAGCATTTAATTATCAAGTAGGTTTTCCGAAGACGTTCAAATCAATCAGTGTCTTCAAGTAAACTTTGGAGTTTTGGTTAATTTATCCAGCTCATCCCAAGACTTACCCTGTGAAAAGTAAAATCTCTTCCACAAGTGGGAGGGAATGGTATATGTTCAAGGCAAGGGGGGTAGGCTCGGGAATATTTTTATCCCCGGTATTCATTACAGGGTCCATGGTTTTCGAAGAACATCTGTTCTACCCGATGCCCTCAGTCCTCACGGTTCCTTTTTAATATTTAATGGCAGATACCCATTAAGGCAGGAAGAAAATATAGTTGAGGAATAAAAATTTGCTACCGGGGGCATAAAAAATAGTTGACCGGTGTCTCCTCTCTTGGTGTCAATAATTTATTCAAAGTCGTCTAAATTAGGAAAGCAAAACAAAGCGTGGGGTCCCGTGTCTGACAACACTATTTCTCTAGGAGTGCATACCCACCCCGCAGATGTAATTTCTATCTATTTTGAGGAAAAAGTCCCATTCCGAAAATCCTTCTCCTCCTCACATCACGGTAAACAGGGAAAGAGGACTGTCGTATTACTGCTGTTATCATTAGTGAAAAGTACGGCCTTCTTTCGTAATTACTAAATAGCACTCTGGAGTGAGAGATGTGGAGAAGGGAGAAAAGTAAGCTCTCTAATCTAATCTCCCTTTTTCCTTTAGCACGCAGGGCTGGAACAGCCCCAAGCGGGTAAACAAAACAAAAAAAAACAACCACCAAAACTCAGCAGAGCGGATGCCCCCCCTTGCCCCCCGCCCTGACACCCCACACACACTCCTCGTACAGTTTGCACTGGGGCTGAAATCTACGGTTTCACAGGACTTCTCCCTCCTTATGGAAAGARGCTTGAAAAATAGAGGCAGATAAGCGAGAAACTCTCCGCGGCTGAGTGTGAGGGGAGTTTGGAGAGTGGGGGCGGGCTGGGGAGGGGGGTAGAGGGGAGCTGGAGAGATTAGTGTTCTCATGGCTACCCGCTTTTTAACAAATCAGACAGATCTCCGGGCTGTGAATGACAGTTCTCACTTTGGCTAGACTGCAACTTTCAACTTGACCTTGGCCTCTAGCCGTGTCTAACCCGTATGTAAAACAGCGCTGCCCCATAGAGCTGCCTCCCCTTCCCACTTCTCCTCCCTCGTCCTGCAACGCGATTTTCAGAAGCAGCCTCGAGAAAATAGAGGGAAACAAACCGACCCAATTCATGCCATGTGTGGCTGGGGGAAGCCACAGGTTTYAAAACTGGAGCCTGAAAGAAAAGGGAAAATATGCGTGGAATAAATATTTGCTTTTGGCCATGAGGAAAAATGCGGAAAAGAGTATACGAAGTTAAAATGGAAACACTTTACTGGCTACAATGAAGGAAAAAAAACGGCTAAATGATGCCAAATTAACAGAGGAATGACAGCGACTTCAGGTGTCCCAATGAATGGCACGGAAAAAGCACCTTGAAAAAAAATTCTTGGGCACCAAAGAGCCATTTCTCATGGCTGGCAGCTCAGCGCTAGGCAAGGAAAAGTCTGCTCGGTAACAATGTACGTCCCGGGATTGCTCTGAGCTTGTAGCCATGAGGGCAAAACAATGTTACAACGTCAATGGAAAGCACAATAGGATAATAAATACGCCGAGCTGTCAGACTCAAAACAAAGCAACACGCAATTGGGGGGAAAAAATTAGTTTTCAGGATGGGAGTATTTGTGGCTGTTTTGTGCACATGCGTGAGGGCTGAGAGCTGTTAACGATGAGATGAACGCTGGTTTAGGTCAAGTTTATTGATAGCTCAGTGATGGAGTGTTTTGGGTTCAAGGTTGTGCGCGAAAGGCTCGGGGGAGAACAGCATCCGCGCCGGTTGGAGGTGGGTGAATATTAAAAATTAAAATTATTTCACCCTACGAAAAATTTATCCCAAAAAGGGAACGCAGTTGATATTTATTTTGTAGCATTCACTTGCAAAGCGGTACGGCCTTCAAAATAAAATTTTAGACGATAATCCATTTTGTTTTTCCAGCACACGCACACACACAAAGCGCCGTGGGTGCACACACCATACAAGCCGACGGGATGTTTTACAGCCGAAAAATTTAAAGTCGAATCGTAGGCCCAGGGATTTATTATTACGGGAACAAATAATACCAGCAGAATCGCGATGGATATCCAGTTAACTGTCCCTCTTTTCAAGTCCTTCCTAAAAGATAATAATAAATAATACGGGGATTTCCCGATCTATTCCTCTTATCTGACTTCTGAGACTTTGTGGCGAGAGGAGCGAGATGGGTCTTGGGCTTTCGACGGGCGGGAAGGAGGAAAACACCCAGAAAAGACCCCGGGAGGCTCCGTTTCKACAGCCTTATGTGTCCCAGCGTTGCGCCCGGGGAACGATTCTCCTCCCTCAGCTTGCGGTGGGCTCTCCGCGTCACCCGGACGGGGCCCCGCCAGCGCTCCCCGGGGAGAGGCGGCGGCTCAGACCGGCGGAGGAACGGGGTWGAAGGGGTGCGGCTCATCTTCCCCCCGAGACCAGGGGAGGCCTCCGGGGTTTCCGCGGCGCTCGGGGCTGGGAGGGCTCAAGGAAAGCGGCGCAAGGAGAAACCAGGCGGGGTGCCAGGGGGAGCCCCGCACCTCGGGGGGTGCGCCGCGGCAACAACGGGGCCAAAAAGCTCACGCCTCGGTGGCGAGGGAGGGCCGGAGGGAGGAAGGAGGGAGGAAAGGAGGGAGGGAGGAGGGACGGATGCYCCCCCTCCCCGGCGCCCGCGTCCCGCGCAGCGGCGAGACCGCGCCGTGCCCGCACCCGTGCCCGCGCCCCGGGCCGGGACCCGGCCCCGCGCGCTGATTGCGTTATTTAATTATCTCCACTTTATTCCCTCAGATGTTTATCAGCTGCTTTGCATATCACGTGGGGGCGGGCGGGCCAATGAGAGCTGGCCTGGCGCGACGCTGGCGCGTCAGCTCTGGTCAAGTCCGGAGATTGAGTATCTCTTTTTTCAGTCTTTGGGGCTTTTAAAAAAGAGCCACTAGTCTCAATGCGGAGCGGGCTATGACAGCCTCCGTGCTCCTCCACCCCCGCTGGATCGAGCCCGTCATGTTCCTCTACGACAACAGCCTGGATGAGATCAATAAGAACATGGACGGGTTTCACGCCGGCAGCAACTTCGCGGCGGCGGCGGCGGCGGCGGCCAACCCCTGCCGCAACCTGATGGCTCACCCTGCTCCCCTGGCCGCCCCCAGCGCCGCCGCCTACACCTCCAGCGAGGCCCCCGCCGCCGGCATGGCCGAGCCCACTGTCAAGCAGTGCAGCCCCTGCTCGGCCGCCGTGCAGAGCTCCTCCGGCGCCGCGCTGCCCTACGGCTACTTCGGCAGCGGCTACTACCCCTGTCGCATGACCCACCACAACGCCATCAAGTCCTGCGCYCAGCCCGCCTCCACCTTCGCCGACAAGTACATGGACACCTCGGTCTCCGGCGAGGAGTTCACGTCGCGGGCCAAGGAATTCGCCTTCGCCTATCAGGGCTACGCCGCCGGGCCCTACCAGCCGGTGCCCGGTTATCTGGATATGCCCGTGGTGCCCGCCATCGGCGGCCCCGGCGAGCCGCGCCACGACCCCCTTCTCCCTATGGACAGCTACCAGCCTTGGGCCATCACGAACGGGTGGAACGGACAAGTGTACTGCCCCAAGGAGCAGAGCCAGCCGCCTCACCTCTGGAAATCCACCCTCCCGGGTAATACACCTGCATGGCTTCCCCCTTCCCTTCTTTTCATCCTGCCCCGCTCGCCTCTCCCCGGGTATCYCTCCGGCAGGCAGAGCTCGGGGATAACCCCCCGGGCCGGCTCTTCGCCGTTCCGCCCGCCGGTCCCGGTCCCATCCCGCCCCGGTCCACACATGGCCCAGCGCCGCTGGAACGGCACCGGTGCCGCCCCCTGCCCCCCGCCGGCGCACGGCACATCCCGCCTCGCCTGGCCGGCCCCGGCGCCGGCCCCGGGAGAGGAAACAGCTGAAAAGGGCCGCGGGAAGGGCTGTGGTATTATTTTCCATAGGCCATGAAGCACGCAAGCCGGGTAAATCCCTGCAGCCCCTCTCGATCTTTCCCAGAGTCCCTGGCCGCGCTAAATGGGTTTGTTATTATTTGTGTGTCTGACAGAAGGGAGCCTTTCCCTGCCTAAAAGCTGTCTGCGGCGGTCGGGGAAGAGCAGTACCCAATGCTGAGCCGGGCTTTAGTAGCTAAACCGGAGCGGGGCAGGCGGAGGAGTGCGCTCTAACCCTCACCTTTGTACCACTTGAAGATGTCCTTCCTAACCGGTTCGAGCGATTTTCTAATGCTCCCTTGCATGGTTTTTCTSTTCCAGACGTCGTTTCTCATCCCTCGGATGCGAACTCGTACAGACGTGGAAGAAAGAAACGAGTGCCTTACACGAAGGTCCAATTAAAAGAACTCGAAAGGGAATATGCTACAAATAAATTCATAACCAAAGACAAGCGGAGGAGGATATCGGCGACTACAAATCTATCAGAGAGACAGGTCACAATCTGGTTCCAAAACAGAAGGGTCAAAGAGAAAAAAGTGATCAACAAATTGAAGACTACCAGTTAATGGATTAAAAATGGATAAGCAGTAATTCAAGAGTTTCAGAACTTTTTTTTGTGTGTGTGTTCAAATTAAAGTAATTATTAATAATAATTAAAAAAGAAAAGACAATGAACCTCTTCTTTCAGAACAAGAGATCTGTATCTTTGGAATTATAGCCTTTCTTTCTTTTTCTTCTTCCTTTTTTTTTTTTTTTTTTTTTTTTTTTTTTTTTTTTTTTTTTTTTTTTTTTTTTTTTTAAATATTGTTGTAGCAAAATGGTGAAAACTGACAGTTCTCCTGAAATCCCAAACAGCCAGCCAGTATCACTGACAGACTGTAAAGCCCACATGTCCAGCTCCGGGAGATACACTTTCAATGAAGACACGATTTTCTGAGAAACTTGTAAATAATTCTACAACCTTMCTATTTGAAAGAAGACCCTTCGTGGCCGCGATGCAAGAGCTGTTTAACGTGTGGAGGTCGATGTGGACACATGATCTGTTTTTCTTCCATTGCAATCCAAACTGTATGTTGAATGACTGCTCAGGTAAACCATAGTGAAAAAAATTACAATTACTGTATGTTTTTAAGCAATGCATTTARTGTCAAAAAGTAATAATAAACCTCGAAGGTACTGAATAAGGATTTCAGAGACATCAGTAATGAAGGAAGTTCTGTGGAGGATCTATCTTGTTATTAAATTTAAACATCACAAATTAGTGAGGATAGAAAGGAAAATATTTGCTTGGAGATGTCTTTCGGTTTTATTTTTTATTTTCTGCAGATGAATTRTTGTCATCTAAACTGGGGGTTTTGTTTGTTTGGGTTTTTTTGTTTTTTTTTTCTCCTGCAGACTATACAATAGATACATTTTAAAGGACTTTGTCTATTTTAAACCTGAAATAATCTTCAAGAATTAATATTCTAAGTCCCCAGAAAATTTTAATATTTGAACATTGGCATTTCTTTACAGCAGAAAAAAAAAAAAAAAAAGTCCTGGGAAAAATACCCAAGAACTTTGAACTGAAATACAATTTTTTTTTCCCCAGAAGTATCTTGATTTATGTAATCTATATTTGATCTATAAGTAATTAGTCGTTTCTCCTTGTTTATTGTCTGTTATGAGGCCGCAGTAGAATGTTTAGGGATTCTTTTTACAGCACCTTTTAATCCAATCAGTTATTTCAACCAGCACATTATTTTGTTTTTATTCACTATAAGAAGCTATCTTGTAAATAAAAAAGAAATCAGCGCACTGTGAAAATGTACTTATGCACCCTTTTTTTATATATTTCTACTGAAAAAATGAAAACCCAAGATGTGTAGAAGTATAGTAGTATTAATACTGTTAATAAAATAGTCACTGTAATAAAACCTGAAAGAAATACTCTTTATTTTTTTTCCATTCCTACATGCATTAATAGCAAAATATATAATGTATCAGTCTTATAATTGTAAAACTCTGGTTTCAGTATGTAGCTTGTGTATGTATGGTGGATTTTGTTTTATTTTTCTTGGCGGTGTTTATCTGCGGGCAGGCATGCCTGATAACCAGCGTTCCTAAACTATAAATGTTTCGGTAATGTTAAACAGTGGTTTTGCAGCCGCGCTGGGGGCCGGGGGGTGGAAGAGCAGGATGATCCAAGCGCAGCACTGCAGCCCTCGCCGGGAAATGGAGGCCGGCGGCCGACCCCTGCCATGGGAGCACGCTGCCCAGCCTGCCGGTGCCACGACGGGGAGGTGGGGGGGGTGCGTGGCGATGACAGGACGGGGAAGGCCCGAAACCTTGACCTTGAGGGGAAAAAAAGCCGATTTGTGACCTTGACTTTTGACAGCTCCGAGCGCCGGCGGCATCCGCGGGCCGACAGCGCCACCTCGTGGCCGGCAGCGGGTGGCGCCCGCACCTGGCCGCGCCCGCGCAGCATTCTGCCCGCGCCGCCCGAAATGGACACATTTGGGCAAAATACCTCCGGACCTGCAAGGCAGAGGGTGGAGCAGGTTATGCTTCGCCTGCTCTCTCTCTGTCTAGCGGTGACAGGGCACCGGCGTGGCTGAGCGGGAGCTGGCACTCGGTGCTCAGGCGGTGTCCGGCTGAAGGATGCCGGATGCGGTGCCAGGAGCCGCCGGCCGGCCGGGATAGTGAGTGGAGGGCGACTTCGGTCCGCCACAAAGAGAAGTTTGGTTTAGCCGCCTGTCTCCGGCGGTGGTCTGTAGCTCTAATTAGAGCTATTGGGGAACCTTTACGGTACATTTAGAGGGTATCATATACCGCGCTAGCTGTGCGCTTCTAGCCTTACATTTCTGAAATTCAAAAGGACCCACCTCTGTAGGGATCAGCGCGGAGCGATTTCCGACCCTCAGATCTGACTGTAACGCATTCGTGCAATAACTGACACGAAAACTACCTGCAGGAGCGGGATTTGTTTTCCAGGAGGCTTTTGTGTCAGGGGCTTTGCCCTACGATCGGGATTTTAGCCTTCCCGCCGTGTGCGGCCGCTCAGGGGCTGTGAACCGCTGTGGTTTCTCGGGCTGAGAAGCTCTGTGGTTTTTCAGGCCGCGGGAAACCCGCGGCCGCGGAGCGTGGGAATTTCGGACGCATCCCTTCGGARGCTGGTCAGGGAATTTCTGACCGAGAAATCCCGTCCTGTTGCGAAAATAGCCTAGGAGTGTCCCATTATTGGCAGGCGGTTTCCAGACCATGGAGTCTGGTTGGGCTTTGGGGTGACATGGTGTCGGCCCGCTGTGACAAGCACCCGGACTTGCAGTGGCCTGCGGSACCGTGCGGGGGACCACTGGTAAAGATCCACGGGCGCAACAGCACCCGTCCACGGCGGGCACGGCCTTGGGGTGCCCACGGGCGAGGGGAGCCGCTGGGGAGCCGGTAGTCTTCACGATCTCCGTGAAGAGAAAATCGCCGTGGCCTGGGATTTTCAGCGGAGCTGGAGCAGGCAGAAAACTCCCGTGATGGAGCTGCTGGAGCAGCGGGCAGCCCTGTACCCTGCTCGGAGTTCTGGGGCTGTGGGTTGGCGACAGGGACCTGTCTCCCACCGGTCGTACCTGCTGTCCACGGGCTGTGTGCCTCGGCTGCAGGCACGGGACAGCCGCCTTTTCACCGTCTCCCTGCGACACTTTCTCCTCAAGGAGAGAAATTGCCGAGGAAAACTGCTAGTGAATTACACTTGTTCTTGCTCCGAGTGAATATTTTTTTTTATTCAGTTATATTTCACAACATGTATAATTTCGCAGCCTGCGTAATTATTGCATGGGACGCTGCAAATTATCAGGTCTGAGTTGGGGGTGAYACAGAGGGTTGAATCCTGTCTACCTTGGTCAGGATCTTCTATTTTCAGACCATGCCCCAGAGCGATATAATTCAGGGACGCCTCGAAAGAAACCCACAATGAGAGCATGGCCGACATTAGTATAATTGCAGCTTTTTTTTTAAGGTAACTTTTAATCGGAGCTAGCGTTTGAAGATAATGTCTTCACACTGAGCTACCTACCGTTCAAATCTGCTAAGCATTTCAAGACTGACTGTGGATTAGCGAATTTAAATTCCCACTACTGTTCAAATAGCTCAGCCGCATATATATTTCACGGGGTAAAAAGGGAGGGTTTGACTCGCGATCGCTGGCAGGAGTAAGGTAWCGTTTTGGATCCGTCCCCCGTTACCATGTAAGTCAGCGTCGAGGCTCCGAGGCTCTCGCAGGCTTTAGCAAGACGAGCAGGTCATGTTTCCCTGCCCTGCGGCGCAGAGTGCCTGTCAGGAAAGCAGGAACCCGGGCCAGCAGCGGAGCACCCCCGCCACCACCGGAGTGTCCCCCCACAAAAACCCGGGAGTGCGGCGGCCGCGGCGGATCCTTCGCGCCCGGTGCCGCGGGGAGGCCGCTCCTCGCCGAGCCGCTGCCTCCTCGTCGGGCCTGACTCGAGGAGCCTCTGGAGAAACATCCCACGATGCTAGTGGCTGCGACAGGTGAGTAAAGACAGGGAGCTCCTGTGCTTTGCTCTCCAGGGCGCCGTGATGAAGGGACTGAGGGGAGAGGACGTGCCCGGGGGAGAACTCCGCGGTCGCACGGCGACTCAGGGCACCAAGACTGTGGTGTCTGCGGTTTTCCGAGTCACGAAAGATTCACTCTCCGCAGGCTTTGCGTGCAATCCCGCCCTTTCTTCGGTCGTCCCTCGTGTGTGCCTACCCACGGCTGCACCCACGCAGCCCTCCCCGCCTCCATCCTTCCACTCCTTCGCCGGGGAGATGTGGCCTCGGAGCGCGGGGGAGAGCGGGCGTGTAGGTGTGTGTGTGTTCATGTTATTTATTACCTTCATTTACCGTCCAAAAGCTGTTGGCACATACATTTTCAAGTACAAATTGCTGTGGTGCTACATATTCCCCTCTCACCAATCTTCCGCCGGAGTCCTAAAATACATCCCTAATACGTTTTACAAGTGGATATATCACCAACGAAAATAATTAAGCGAAGTGATACATTAATTCATGACGTCCGTCGCTGGTCGCGATTCTGAGAAAATTATTATTTATATTCCCCGCGTTACAGAAAAAGTGTTTTAAAATGGTTGGAGGAAACTTACTGTGCCTGGATTGATGTGTTGAGTTATTTGTGCAATGAGTTTTATTTGCAAATGTCAAAAAAAAAAAAAAAAAAGTGCCGGAAGAAGGATTTGGAAGGAAAACAAACACAAAATTTTAAAACAAAAGTATGTTAACATAGTACAGTCTTTATTTTCTCAGCTTCCCTTGAATAAAAAATACTAGGTATAATATTTTAGCAGATGTGGAGAGAGATGCAAGGGACAGAGGGAGCAAGTTATTACTGTATATTTATTGCATTTGTTGAACCACTAGTATCAGAGCAGCATTTAAATCCTAGTGTAAAACACACAATATCATTAAAGAAAAAAAAAATCAGTTTCATTTCAATTTTCACGTAGCTCCCTTTAAGTCTTGGATTCAGAGACATACATTTTAATTCCCAGTGTCTGGAAATGTTAGTTTATAATCGCCTGATTCTTGGCTTCGTGGGTCCCTCAGTTTTCCCATGGGCAGAAAGTG